CAGACCGAAGGAGAAAAGGAGCATGAATCAGTCATGAATCATCAGGATTCGCCGATAAGGAGCACCTGGAATAGTGGAAGGATGGAGTCTCAACAAACATACAGAAGTTCGTATACTTGGGTGAGAATCAGGACCGCTGTGCCCCTAAATCTATGCAAAAATGTCCCAGGTTATCCCCTTGTTACGATGAAGCATCAAGATTCTCTAACCATTGGATCAGGCGCATCAAACCGGCTGAAGAATAAGCTGAAGAAATTGATATTCCATAGTATCAGTACCAACCGATGAGAAATACCGATATACTGCATCGATCGAGGGACTGGTCGCGACACGAGAGCTGTTGGACGCGCTGGATAGGCACCCAAAATCGGTCACTTACGTGATACGGAGTGGCCGATATTTTATGCATTTTATTGACTTTTCCGGGTCGACCGTTGACTCGAGCTGGGCAATCCGCTTTCATCTCGGGCTGACCCGGGTATTGTTTTATGAGGGTATAAATATGTTCTTAACCCCGAAGAAAACCTAAGTCTGATTTTTCTTTCCTTTTTACGCTTTGAAACTTTTCTTTTACGTTGTAGCTTGAATCGATCCTTAGAGCATTAATACTTTGATGTTCTAAGTTCTTATATTTATAAAATTTCCATCTTTAGCTTAAAGTTTTAGTCTCTGTGCTTGTTTCGTCTCTGTTTTGCATTTTATCGCACATACTTCACTAGAGCTCAGTAATGGTTTTTCCCGTAGCCATGAGTGAGTAGTCCTCTTGTCGAGTGTCGGGTTAGTAGATGTAGAAGCCTTAGATAGCAGCTAACTTAGCTTCGGCCTGAATATTTCGTTCTCGAGCTTAGGTTGAGGTTAAAGCTTGATTCTTGGCTTCGGCTTTGAATCTCGCTTTGAGGCATTCCGCTGCTCGAAAGGTGTTTGTCGGAATGCTGGACTGACCTTTTGCTCGGCTTAGTGATCCTTTGGCCACGAAAGTGTGTTAAGGAGCTAAGTGAGCTTATTGGGACTTGATTTTTAAGCTTGGAGAGTACTCATATCTAGCAGCGAAAGTTCGTTAGATGTTTGTACTCAACAAAGTGGTTAGTAGCGTCACAAAAGTGGGATGATCTATATTCGTGTTCCATGCTTGAGAGTTGAGTTTTAAAATGAAAGGCCCTAGCTTTGTTAGCCGCAATCTATTGATTCGCATCGGTTGCTAATCCGACACTTGATGCTTTCCATTATCATTGCATTCGCCATTTAGTCTCTGTTTTGTTCATTTCCCGTATTGATACATTTAGTTTAGTTCTGATCAACTCCACCAAACTGTTATTGATGCTTTAGCTTAACCAAAATCCTCCATGGTCTAGTACTCTAAGTCCTTGTCTTCCTTGTGTTCCATCCCTATGCCTGCTACAATTGAATCATGAGTTAAGTTGTTAGCTTGATAGGTTTTATTTGAAAGAACGAAAAATCCTTCTCATCAAATTGTCGCCGTTGCCGGGAAGCTAGCGCATTTAGATATTAGATTTGAGTGTTTTTTTGAGACTAAAGCTTTCGTTTTTATTTACTTTTTGT